GAGAGTTGGACTGTGAGGAAAGCTGAGTGCGGAAAAATTGATGCTTTTGAACTGTGGTGTTAGAGAAGACTCTTGAGAGTCCCGTGGACTGCAAGGAGATCCAACCAGTCCATCCTAAAGGAGATCAGTCTTGGGTGTTCATTGGAAGGACTGATGCTGAAGCTGAAACTCCAGTACTTTGGCCACCTCATTTGAAGAGTTGACTCATTGGAAAAGACTCTGCTGCTGGGAGGGATTGGGGGCAGGAGGAGAAGGGGATGACAGAGGATGAGATGGCTGGATGGCTTCACCGACTCGATGGACAGGAGTTTGAGTAAACTCCGGGAGTTTGTGATGGACAGGGAGGCCTGGTGTGCTGCGGTTCATGGGGTCGCAAAGAGTCAGACACGACTGAGCGACTGAATTGAACTGAACTGAACCATGGAAAAGATAATTCTTTCCCAGCTTTTTTCATTTTTTTCTTTCCCAGTTTTTTAAACTTCTGATAGCCTTGTCTATGAAATTAATTGAATAAAACTCCTTAATTTCTTTAAAAAGATTTGTTTAATTATTTTTGTCTGTGCTAAAAAAATTAAATAAAAAAATCTTAAAAAAAAAATAAGGAGTTTTGTTCAATTAACTTCATAGACAAGGCTATCAGAAGGCTTTTGGCTGTGCTGGGCTTCCCTGGTGGCTCAGGTGGTAAAGCATCTGCCAGCAATGCAGGAGACCCCGGTTCGATCCCTGCGTCGGGAAGATCCCCTGGAGAAGGACATGGCAACCCACTTCAGTATTCACGCCTGGAAATTCCATGGACGGAGGAGCCTGGTGGGCTACAGTCCATGGGGTCGCAAAGAGTCGGACACGACTGAGCGACTTCACTTTCTTTGGCCGTGCTGGGTCTTTGCTGTTGCTCACAGGCTTTCTCTAATCGCGGTGAGCAAGGGGCTACTCTGTCACGGTAGAAGGGCTTCCCATTGCAGTGGCTTCTCTTGCTGTGGAGCATGGGCTCTAGGCATGCAGCCTCAGTAGCTACAGTGTGCTGGCTTCGATGCCCTGCTGCACGTGGAATCTTCCCGGACCAGGGATCGACCTGCACCTCCTGCACTGGCAGGCAGATCCTTAACCTCTAGACCACCAGGGAAGCCCCCAATTAATTTGTACAATGATGAAGCTGAAGCTCCAATATTTTGGCCACCTGATGAGAGGAGCCAACTCATTAGAAAAGACCCTGACGCTGGGAAAGATTGAAGGCAGGAGGAGAAGGGGACGACAGAGGATGAGATGGTTGGATGGCATCACCTTCTCAATGGACATGAGTTTGGGAAAACTCCCGGAATTGGTGATGGACAGAGAGGCCTGGTGTGCTGCAGTCCATGGGGTTGCAAAGAGTCGGACATGACTGAGCAACTGAACTGAACTGGACTGAACTGAAATCTTAGAAACTTACAGACTTCTTTTCACCCCCATTTCTTCTGTAAAATCGTTCAAGTTTTCTGCTTACTATCCTACTATCCTGAAATGTTCATCTTTTTCTTACTGATTTTAGGGATCCTTGATAAATTATGGATCCTAATCCCTCTAAGGGTGTTAATTCCCTAACATTTCTTAAGGTATTTAGTATAGGCTGAGCCCAGGGTATGCTTAAGGTTGGAAGCCAGGATCTCTCCACTAAAGCTGGAAGTGACCTCTGGGGTGGCTAAGAGTATAGGGGAAGCACTGGCAGCATTTACTGTACCCACTGATTAGTTTCCTAGGGTCACCATAACAAAGTGCCAGAAACTGAGTGGCTTAAAACAATGGACATGCATCCCTTCGCACTGCTGGAGGCTAGAAGTCCAAACTCAAGGTGTCAGCAGTGTTGGTTCCTTTGAGGGCTAGGAGGAAGAATCCATTCCATGCCTCTCTCCCACCTTCTGGTGATGGCCAGCAATCCCTAGCCTGTAGGAGCATTACCCCAACCTCTGTCTCCATCTATTTGCAGTACTCTCCATGTGTCTCTGTATCTTCACATGATCAGCTTCTCACAAGCAGAGCAGTCGTTTTAGGACTTCCCTAAAATGGCCCAGCGATTTAAGAATACAGCACTCAGTGCAGGGGATTCACGGGTTCGATCCCCGGTCCAGGGAGATTCCACCTGCCACAGAGCAACAAGGCCTGTGCAGCGGAACCACTGAGCCTGCGCCCTCGAGCCCGTGACGTGCAGCGGGAGAAGCCACCGCAGTGAGAAGCCCTCGCACCGCAGCTGGGGGAGCGGCCCCCGCTCTCCACCAGTGGAGAGAGCTTGCTCACAGCAGAAAGACCCGGCGCAGCCAAAAATAAATAAACAAACACAATTTGAAAAAAGAATGCCAGTCATTTTGGATTAGGAGTCCACCCTACTCCGGGACGGCCTTGCTGTGGTTTAGTTGCTAAGTCGTGTCCGACTCATTGTAGCCCCATGGACTGCAGCACGCCAGGCCTCCCTGTCCATCACCAAGTTACGGACTTTACCCAGACTCATGCCCATTGAGTCGGTGATGCCATCCAAACATCTCATCTTCTGTCGTCCCCCTCTCCTCCCACCTTCAATCTTTCCCAGCATCAGGGTCTTTTCAAATGAGTCAGCTCTTCACATCAGGTAGCCAAAGTATTGGAGCTTCAGCTTCAGCATCAGTCCTTCCAATGAATATACAGGACTGATTTCCTTTAGGATGGACTGGTTGGATCTCCTTGCTGTCCAAGGGACTCTCCAGAGTCTTCTCCAACACCACAGTTCAAAAGCATCAATTCTTAAGCACTCAGCTTTCTTTATAGTCCAACTCTCACGTCCATACATGACTACTGGAAAAATCATAGCTTTGACTAAACGGACCTTTGTTTGCAAAGTAATGTCTCTACTTTTTAATATGCTGTCTAGGTTGGTCATAGCTTTGCTTCCAAATACAGTGGTTAGGACTCAGCATTTTCATTGCCAGGGCCCTGGGTTCGATCTCTGGTTGGGGAGCTAAGGTCCTGCAACCCACGTGGCACAGTCAAAAATATATATTGTTTATCTATAACTTAACTCTAAGCAAATTTCCAATCCTACTCTCCCCCTCTAACTAGTTGATCATCCTAAGCCCCTTCTATAAGGAATTCTAGAACCACTGTTGACTCTCAAGCTCCACACAGCTGGGTATGCAATGGTCACTGTCCCCGTTTATGACCATGGGTAGTTAATGAGCTTTGAAGGCACCAAGGGCCATAAGTAACCTAGAGGTCATCCATGTTCTCTTGGAACTGTGGAGCCTCGTAGTCCAGCCCCTGGCCTGGGTAGAGCCAAAAAGCTGAGCTGGGGTGAGCTGGGGTGAGTTAAGACAGGGCAGGGGACAGGAACAGGACTGCTCAGCGAGATCTCTGACAGGCCTGGAAGGCCAGCAGGGCACATGACTCTTTCCCAGTTGGGATTCTACTTGGCCACCAAAAGCTTTAGAATTATTCCCATGTCAAGTGGGTGCACACTGTCCCAGAACAGCCTTTGCTTTCTTCCCTCAAGCCTGAGGGAAGGGCCTTGGGGGTGCCTGGGCTGCACAGGCCTAGAGGGTAGGGGAGCCCTCCTGCTGCTTTCTCTGGGCCAGCCCTGCCTCAGATCTAGAAACCACTCTAGATGCAAAGGTGGATGTGTGGAAAGGGGGTGGGGGATCAGAGGAAGGGGAGGGAGGGGGAGGGAAGAGGAATCTCTGCAGCTGGGGGTCCTGAGTGTTCAGGAGGCTGAACACTCCAGGCCCAGGACACAGAGATGCTGGGCCACAGAACCAGAGAGCGTGAAGATGCTGCCTCATTTTCCCCCCCCCTCCCCTCTCCTCCGCTTCCGCTTTCCTTTCCCCACACCACCCGTCTAAGCTGAGAGAAGATGCAGATTCACTCCTGTTTGCTGGGGGTGTGGGGACACGTGATGCCTCTGGATGCCCCAAGTGCATTCTGCCCCCCCTGTGTCATCTTGATCAAATCACTTAAGGACAGAAACCCAGTTTGCATGGGTGTTCACATCATGACCTCATGGGATCCTGCAACTATGCTCACCATAACACATTATATCTCATTCAATCCTCGTTACAACTCTACAAGATTCTGTTAAGCACCCACTTTACAGAGGAGAAAATGGAGACTTAGAGAGGTGGTGTTAACTTCTCAAGGTCACATGGCTAATAAGTAGCACAACTGGAACTCAACTCAGCTCCGAAGTGTGAGCTCTTCTATAATCCCAGAATGGAGAAAAGAGATGATCACTAACTATCCTCGCAGTACAGATGAGGAAACTGATTCAGAGAAGTCAAGTCACCGCCAATGACTGTACAAATGGGAAGTGGTGACGCCAGGGTGCAAACGCATTTCTTTCACCAGCAGCCCAATGTCTGTGTTGCCAACAACAACAAAGTGAGGCATCCTAAGTAGATGATCTCAGAGAGTCTCTCCAGCTGAGATCTTTTTACATTCTGGGTTGAGACAAAGAGGAATTGGAAGGAGGATGAGTGTAAAGAAGCAACTTGGTCTTATGGCTATGCCTGGCACTCCCTGACTCAGGAAGCCAGTGGGGCTGCCCCAGCCCTGCCTTTTCAATCTCACCACACCCCTCATTGAAGGAGTCATTCAACAAACAGGGCGGTCAACACTTGGAGCTTGGATTTCCCAGACCACAAGCTGACCACTCCGCAGCCTCTTCCCGGAAGCCGGTGTGTCCACAGTCACGTCCTGCACAGTGGCACCCATCCGCTGACCTCCTCACTCATCAGGGCGTGCCGGCAGTGGGAGCGGTCCCCAAAGGAGCGTATAAAGCACCCGTGGACCCTGGGCATCCACGCTGGGACGAGCACACACGCACACCCTCTGTCCCCAGACCTCCCCCTCAGCCGCCCGGCCCAGCACCCCCGGGGGCGCGCACCTGGCCGCCTCCCGGCAAGGACACACCCCGGGGGGGAGGAGCTGCCGTCGCGGTGGGGCCCAGCCCACAGCGGCTGCGAGCTCCCTTTCCGCTTCTCCGCTTGCCCCGGGGGATCGACATGGCCCAGGAGCGTCCCAGCACCGCCCTGGAGCCGCAGCACGTCCAGCGGCTGCTGCTGTCCTGCCGAGAGGCCAAGAAGTCCGCCTACTGCCCCTACAGCCGCTTCCCCGTGGGGGCCGCCCTCCTCACCGGGGACGGCAGGATCTTCTCGGGTAAGCGCGGCGCCCGGGGGTCCCCTCCGCGGCAGCCGGGGCGGGGGGCCAGGGGAGGCCGCAGCGGGCGACAGGCGTGCCCCGTCTCCCCTCTCCGGGGCAGGGCCGCCACGCCCCCCGGCCCTGCCTGCTGTTCGGACGGCCGGGATGAACACGCGGCTCAAGCCCCAAGGTTTTCCATTCCAGGGGGGCCCAGGAAGCGGAGGCCAGGTGGGGAAGGGACGGGGGAAGGGGAGGCCACAAACGCAGAGCCTCGGGCAGCTCCCGCTGGAGCCGGGAGGGAGAGGGTTAACACTTCCTGAGCCCCGCCTCTGTGTCTGGCACCCGCAGAGACTTCGCGGCTACGGCAGCAAGTCCTCACCACCCCCAGCCCCCACCCATCAACCTAGGAGTTATGCCCATTCTTTCTAGTGAAGAACCTGAGGTCCAGAGAGGTGACATGGCTTGCTCGAGGTCTCACGGGTTTCGGTGACCAGGGCTGAGGGCGCCCCAAACCCTCCTTTCTTCCTGTCACCCACCACCCAGGGGGCTGGCTGGGCGTGAGATTGAGGAATCTGGGGCTGACTCCTTAGTCCAGCGTGGGCCTTGCAGAAAAAAGGGGCCAGGTGGGCTTCGGGTGGCCAGTATTGAGTGCCCACCTGGGGAGAGAGAGACAGGAATCTGAGCCGGCACTAATCTGTTCCTAAGCGACTTTTCTTTGGTTTGCTGGCTTCATAGAATATAGCTCACTTGAACAATAATTCAGACTTGTTTTTGCTAAGCTTAGGGACATCCCCTTTAATGACAGTGGGGAACAGGGCGTGGAGGTGGCGCGAAAGCAAAGGCCAATTGCCCCTCCCCCCCCATTCCCACCGCTGCCCCACACAGATGAGAACTGGTCCAGACGGATAGATGCGAATCCCCAGTCCTGCCCAGTCCTGCCGCCCAGAATCCCCCTTCCACCTGGCCGCAGCCATTTGAAGGACCAGAGGCTCACATGTGTACATCTCATTGATGGCCCACACCCACCCCAAGCATCCCCAGGTCAAATGCGAGCCCCTCCCCCCGCCCCCCCCCACTATTCAGCTGGGAGTCTGGCTGGAGACCCACACCTCCCCTCTATGGTGGCCCTTCTGGGCTGTCCTTGATGTTCATCTCATCCCTTGTCTTTTGAGACTGGAACTTAGAGTTTCTCTGACTCCCAAGTTTGCTTTCCTGTGGGGGATACAAAAATCTCTGTGAGTATCATGGGGAAATTCAGGCCTGGCCCAGTGGCTCAGATGCACATTAAACATTAACCGATACCTCAAACAACACTGCAACCCACAGGCTCAGGGCCTTGAACACGCAATCCGCTATTGATTCCTCCAGCACCTCCATATCCCCTCCGGATGGTGTACAGAGAGGGGCCCTCCCCATCCTTGCATTGATGTATTCATTCAACACATGTTTGCCAAGCACCAATTATGTGCTAGGTAATGTATCAGGTGCTGGAGATGCCGCTGGGAGCAGAAATGACAGTCCCTGCCCCCATGGAGGTCTCCGCTCCTCTTGCACAGGCCATGGCTCCAAGTGGGAGCCTCAGCCAATGATTGTAGGAGAGAACTGATGAAGTGAGCAGAGGTGTGACCTGTGTAACTGGCAGGGAAGGACCTGGCGTCACCAGGAAAAGGGTCGTGGAGGCATTATGGGATGGGGTAGAGGCCCTGGAGGAGTTAGAGCCTCCTGGGTTTGCATCCCAGCACTGCTGTTTCTTGGCTGTGTGTGGCCCTGGGCTAACCCTCCTGAGTCTCAGCTTACACATCTGTAAATGGAGGATCACAGGGCCCGCCTTCCAGGATGGCTGTCAGCAGAGCTGGTGTTCCCGGCCCAGAGTCCTCCCCGATGGGTGGTGCCCCTGCTGCCTCAGTCATGAAAGATGTCTAATGTCACCCCTGAGTGTGAAGCTTTCCATGAGCGTATGCCTTTAAAGGGGCAAAATGCTTAGCACACAGTTTCTGGCCCACAATAGGACTGTCACCACTAGTGACTGCTTCTACTACTACTAATTATTGGCATGATGATGTTGGTTTAGAGGCAGATTGTGGAGGACTTTTGAAGGCCAAGTGGAGACAGTGAGACTTGATGAGGTAGAAAGTAGGGAGCCAAGAAAAGTAACATGAAAGTGGGGTTTGAGGACAGTGTGTCTGACAAGAACTCAAGCAGGACCGGGGAAGAGGAAAGAGCATCAAGGGGGTGATGTCTGTCTTGCCCACTGACTGCATGTTGCCTGGCCTATAGTTCAGGTTCATTGAATGTTTGAAAGAGTGGTTTGGCCTACGTCACTGGCAAGTGGGGTGAAGAGGAAGGAATTATCTGGGAGGGTTGTACAGGACAGATGGACTAGACCTTTTATATGAGAATAAAAGGAAAGAATATAATTCTAGGGTTTCTAGACAGGGAGACCAGGGGAAGGATGAGACAGAGTTGGATGGTGCTGGGGACATCATGGGCAGGGACCAACAGTCATATTAATAACCACAATGGATTAAGCCTTCTCTAATCACTTCTATGGGGCTTCCCAGGTGGCTTAGGGGTAAAGAATCTGCCTGCCAATGCAGGAGATGCAGGAGAGGTGGGTTCGATCCCTGGGTCAGGAAGATCCCTAGAGGAGGAAATGGCAACCCACTCCGGTATTCTTGCCTGGAAAATCCCATGGACAGAGGAGCCTGGTGGGCTATAGTCCATGGGGTCGCAAAAAGTCAGACACAACTAAGTGACTGAGCGCACACACACACACTTACACACAAACACTTCTATGAGAGATCTTTTTAATTTCATAGCCACCACATGAGAGGAGACAGTGAGTATCACATGCATTAGAGCACTTCATGTTGCAAATGCCAGAAACCAACCAGAACCATAATAGGTGAAAGTAGATCTTGCCTCAGGGACAGCTGCATCCAGGAACTCCAACGCCACCATGTTCTTCTTTATCCTGGATGCTGGTTCCTTTCTCTCACCCAAAGGTGGGCTTTCCCCAGGCATCAGGGAACATGAGCACAGGTATCCCTAGTTTACATTCTTCCAGCCTTAAAAGCAGAGAGGGAAGAACGCTTTCCCACTAGCTCAAGATGGAAAAATTCCAGGGAAAGGCTCTGATTGGCCCCTCTCCAGTCACATGCACATCCCTGGGCCAATCACTGTTGTCACAATGGGGTAGTATATGGGTCCAGCTGATTCATATACACGTTCCTCCTCGATGAAGAGAGGGTGGTCTGTTACCACAAGGAGTGTGGAGGTAACAAGCAGACCTAACCAAGAGCCAAACGCACATTTACAAATGGGATCACTGAGGATCAGTTTTACCTGCTTCCAAATTCCTTGCTCTTTCTGCTGCCCCTCACTGCAGCATGGATGTGCAGGAGGAGGCAGAGAGAACTGTGCTGAGGAGAGGGGACCGATGGAGGCCCTTTACCAGAAACCCTGGGTCTCCTTACTTAGAAGGAAAGGAGGGCAGATGGCAGGAAGGCCAGACTTGGAGAGGAGGGGGCCTTGAACAACCAGAGGAAACCTGATAGGGCACCAGAGGGTGAATCGGAAATGATTAGGAGACAGACGCTGAAGATGAAGCTCCAATACTTTGGCCCCCTGATGCGAAGAGCTGACTCTTTGGAAAAGACCCTGATGCTGGGAAAGATTGAGGGCAGGAGGAGATGAGATGGTTGGATGGCATCACCGACTCGATGGACATGAATTTGAGCAAGCTCTGGGAGTTGGTGATGGACAGGGAAGCCTGGTGTGCTGCAGTCCATGGGGTCGTAAAGAGTCGGACAGGGCTGAGCGACTGAACTGATAAGACAGGGCACAGCTGAACTCAGGCACTGTGAGTTTATAGCTCAAAGCGCAATGGGTCGGCCCAGTTCTGTGACTTTCTCCAGCCTCACAAAAGACTAGCCCTCCGTGGAGTTATCACCCTTAGGGGCAGCTGGTGTCTTGGCCAACTCAAAAGCAAGTCTGACAGCCTTGCCGTCACGATCTCGTCATAATGGTTTTATTTCCTCTGTCACCCCTGACGCCGGCCAGGGCCTTGTGCCCCTTGCAGCTGGGCCACCAGGGTGGCAATTAGTAACTCCAACAACTACCTTCTGTGGTTGCTGTGGGGCGAGGAGAAGGGGAGGTGATCGTGGGGGAGAGAGAGCTGCTGGGGGACTGGGGCAGCGAGGACCCGGAGAAGAGTTAGGATGGGACACAAGGGGGTGAGGGTGGAGTCAGCCAGGGCCGCCCCCGAGTTGGTGCTCAGCAGACATCTGTGGCCGGCCAGGTGGGAGGGGCTGGGGGAGACTCACGGAGGACCACCCTGCGGGCACCACCCAAGAGATGGGGTTTCCTCTTCAGCTCAGGCTCTTGGAATGATGGCCCGCCCCTCCCTGTCCTCCTCTCTCAGAGCGATTGTAGCACTCTATATGCTTCATTGCCATGGATGGGGGGGGGGGGAGGTCACGGAGTCACTTTACTGGATCAGCTGTAATTAATTTGGGAGGGAAAAACCATATTTAAAAAAGAAAAAAAACCTTAAGGACATTCTGGTTAACTGCTGAATGCAGCCTGTCTTGACTGAACCTTTAAACCTGACCCTCCATCTGTCTTCCCCCATCCCGTCCCTGCCCTCCGCATTCCCTCCCGGGGCTCCCTTTCTCCCTCAGGACCACTCTTTATGCTTGCTTTATACAGCCCTGCTCCGCAGGCCTCCGGGCTCCCTAACCTGCTTTCTCTCCGGACAGCCCCGCCCCCATCCGAGCTTCATCACCGGTCCTCTCCACTGTCGCTCAAAAGCGGCTTATCGCAGAGACGGGCTTCTAACACCCCTCAGCTCTCCGGGTGAGTTAGGATAGAATTCATTAGCGAAACTGCCGCGTTGCATTTGCAGTGGGCAGGGAGGTGGGAACACGGAGAGAGGGGAGTGTTCACACACATGGCCGTGACATTTGTCTTGTCCCGTGGTTCTTACGCGTGGTCCCAGACTCACAGCCTCCGGCACC